GAAGTGAATTCTAACGGAAAACACACATTCCCATCTCGCTCACACAGACACTGACACTGTTTACCTGGTATGGGCTGTCGTCACGGGAACATCAGTTTGAAAGATGTACCCATTCACCAGGCAGGGAGGGTAAAATGAAAAAATAGCATTGTTGCATTATGAGAAATGCAGGAATCAGTGTGTTTGACTGATAGTTTGACATCTACTGGGGCCTTACAATCAAGATGCGCTGGTCTCTGTTGCTTTGATTTTGACTTTGATTCTTTTTTTAAATCTATTTTTGTGAGTTCACAGCTTTATGGATATGCAATGCTCCATCGCTGGAATTTTACAGTTTACCTTAAGTCTTTTTTTTTTTTTAAACAGAGGTAAAAAATTGCATCTTGTATGCAGGAAAAGCATTTTGTCTTATAAAGGCAGCCTGTAGTAAGTATAGTTTTAGGGAAAACGTTTGCTGTTTGAAGGCTATAGTCTACATGTAAACCCTCAGATTTCTGCCTTTTGAAGAGGATGATCAACCTTTTATGTTTGGACAACCCACCTTATTTATGTGGTAGCAAACTCAATAACTATGATGCTCGGCATCAAGTCAATTTTTGAATTACATAGTCAGAAATGTTGGTTTCTTTTATAATTCCTACAAATGTTCTATTTTTTATTACATGTTTCTGTGGTATAGTATTTTAAATCACATATCAAAATGGCACATTCTGGTTTTGACTGAATGTGTAGCATCTGTGCTTTGTCTTTGCTGGGCAGCATTAACCTCTGTGGATAGAAGGTTCAAGTCTTTTGAGGTTTTGACCACACTAAGTGCTGGTATTTGGCTGGGATGCAGTTACCTTTTAAGTAGTAACTCTGTAGGGAACTATTCGAATGGCCAGAATGAGCTCAGCAAGATGAGATCATAAACAGACACAGCTTAACATGAAGCAGACTGAGGTTGGGATTTAAAATCAGCTGTGGCTCTATTGTGTCAACGCTGCCAGCAAACAAGATAAAAATGTTGTTTAACAAACATTTTAACTTAGCCAGTTCTTTCTTTCTATCAAGCATTGTCTTTGTTACCTGTCTAATAGGAATGTAGCAAATGTATTCAGCTTTCACTCTTTTTCTAAAAGTTTGTCCGCTAAGTGACTCAAACAAGAGGAAGTGGAGGAGTGTGCTGGTGAGCTAGCAGTTGTAGGCTGGCTATCAGGCCAATGTGTCACACCGGGGTGTCCAGGGGCACAGAAAAGGGAAGTGAGCCATAGCAAAGAGGCCTGCGGCGCACACAGTACGGGCACAACACATCGCACATCACCTGCAACACTGTACTTTTTAGCATTTTCTCCAGTTAAACGTTTGTTTCTGATTTGATATTTATAAATAGTTGTCTTGCTCTTTCCTTCTCTTGCTTTCCCATTTTCTTTCTTCCTTCTCTTTGGTACAGGACCAGGTGGGAGGGGGTCTGTTGGCATTCTTGCACCGTGTGCTTTGCGCTCGACCGGGCCTTGGCTTGGGTCCATATCCCCTCTCTCTCTTCTCTGACTACCGCCCCTCCTCCTCTCCACTGAACACCCTTCCCTCCCTCCTCAACCTCTTCAACTCCCCTTGGTTGCTTCTCTAACAACTGCTCCTGCCAGCAACTCTTCAACAAGGCCCCACCCTCACTCTCTCCTCTTGCCTTCACTTTCCTTAATCTTTCCCCATGTATCTCCCATAATTCATGCCCCCCTTCTCCTCCTCTCACCCTTTTCCTTCTCTCTCCCATCACAGCCTGTGGCAGCAGGACCAGCCTCTGTGACACAGATGCATCCAGTTGCTCTGGGCACTCGACACGGGAACAAAGCACTGGCAGGGCTTGTCTGTTACAGTTTGTTTCGGGGATGTGTGTTGTTTGCAAATATGTGCACATGAGATAGATGAGAGAGAATAGACGGCACACTGGCAGATACTAAATCTAGTTTCATGAGTTTGTTTAAGCTTAGCTTTCACCTTAACAAAAAAATGTGTTGCGTTGCTGTGCAAGCGAACACCCAGAGATAGTATTAAGCAGGATTTGTCTTCACACTTGCATGTGCTGTGAGAACATTAACTCACAGTGATTTACACCACCCACTCAGCCAACACACACCTTTGAGCTTTTTTCTAATCAAAGTACTTCCTGTTTAAACCTCAGCAATTAACACTGAACAAGTACTTAAAGAGAATCCAACTTCATTTAATTCACAATGTTATCTGCATACTGGCAGCGAAGGTAAAATAAGCTAAAATTCCTGTCATGAATGAGCTTTTCTTGCAGATAGGGTTTTTTTTTCCTCTTTTTGTGGGTTTATGTGGAGCATGTGTGTGTGTGGACATCTGAACATGTGTGTACAGTGGATGATGTCACTGCTATATGAGAGCAGCATTTGACCTCAGAAGTTCAGAGGGTTTTACAGGGAGGTATATTACTTCTAATTGATCCAGCTAGTGTGTTCAGGGTTGGTTTGGCTGAGCCTTATTCTTTCACTCCAGCTATGTGTTATCACCTCAGTCAGCACAGAGCAGATAGCCATCAGCGACCTGGGAGATAGCGGACCTGAGGTTATGGATGTGGATATGTGGTGGGAGTTTCAATTTATACTTTGAAATGCATCACCAGACACATAAGTAAGCATAAACAGAAAAGTGAAGGGAGCAGCACACACACTGAAATATGTATATTTTGACCATTGTTGCAGCGAGAACTGACCTCAATCTTTACCTGGTCCCTTTATCTTTTGTTCCTCTGGATATTGATGGGAACGGGAGGGCACATAGGAGGGAGAAATGAGATGCCTCAACACTCCACTGCCCTCCTCTCCCTATCCAACTCCCCCACACACCTGGGATGGCCATTTCATTTCAGAGTGCAGCAAATGGAAAGGTGATCTTAATCTACCTTGTTTCCCTCTAACCCCCCTTCCTCTCTCCATCTCCCACACACAGAGCCTCATACTGCTGATGGACAGCACACTGCTGGCTGCCTGAGCCTGCTGCCATCACACCGAATGTAGTGATAGATAGGGCTGGATATGTACTGGTTCATTACGTTCAACAAATGCTCTTAATTTCAGTGTCAATCCTACAAACCAAACATTTTGGTTTGTGATCCTCATGTTCTAACTGGCCGACGCAATCCTTTGAGCACAAGCAGCCGACAATTGACTTTGGCCAAAGTATTTTGGTATGAACTTCTCAATACGCGGCATCCCTCTGTTAGCTCATTACTCTGTGGTAGGTCTCTCTCTCTGCTGCTAGCTCTTTGGTCATTACAGTCACAAGTACTTGCCATTGATTCCTTATGAATAGACTTTAGGCACATGGAGAGAGGTTCTTGCTTTCAAGAAATGTGCAATTGTGATTGCGCCACGCTGAGAAAAAAGTGACGTTGTGAAAATCAAGAGCTTATTTATCTAAAAAATATATTCTCTGCCAGCCCTGTGATAGGCTGGCAACCTGTCCAGGGTGTACCCCGCCTCTCGTCAGCTGGGATTGGCTCCAGCAACACCCCCACCTCCCTTGACCCTATTCAGGATAAGCAGTATAGATAATGGATGGATGGATATATTCTCTGCCACAGTGAGTGGTCATCTTGACGAAAACAAACCTCACCTTCAGTGTACTCCTCTTCTTCTGCTCTACAAGGCTGGACTGAGTCTGCAGCTCCACCCGCCCAACCGTCACTATGGCAACGCTATCTGGGCCTACCAAGACCTGAAGCCGAAGGACATACTGGACAACAATACAATAGCAGCACAGCCAGGGTTCCTTGAGGGACTTAGACCTGAGAGGCAAGATCGTGGTGGGGCGGTGGGGGGGTTGGGACTGAGTAAATCCTCTCTTTCTCTGCTTCCTTCACACACAAACACAGTCAGGATCACCCTTTGGCTTAAGAATCTACAAGGTATTGGAACAATATGTGCCATAAAAAGATTTTGTTGTGTCAATTTCTAATGAAACCTGTTAAAAGAAATGTTTGCTAATTCTTTTGAATGGATTTTAAGGTAAGCAAAAAACAGGTATGTTGTATGAGATCTGTTTGCTGTAGTTAGTTGATCAGGTAACCGGCAGTATAGAGAGAGTATATGCTGTTCACGATTGGGCGAGCTTTTTTTCTTTGCACAAGAGCAGCCACGATGGCCGCAGCACTGCTGACTGCAAGGACTGGGCCACACATCCAGCTGCTGGTGCCAGCAGTGGAGAGTAATAGAGATGTTTAGAGTCTATTTGCCTTGCTTGCATTCCTCCATGCACTGCTGCTAAAATAATAAGAGGGAGGGTTACCTCAGGTCGGCCCCAGCTGAGGGATATGGAACATGTATTGTTGTCACTGGCTCCATTTGAGTATCCTTCTTAAAGCCACAGCACGGAGCTGTGGATCTGGGCACTGCTGCCTAGTGTACAGAAACACAGTGATCAGAAGCAGCAGAGGGAAGGATGAATATTAAGAAGAAGTGTGTTTTTGTTTGTCTGCATTTGTGGAAGTACCATATTGTGATATTAACATAACGCGTCATTGCAAGTTTCAAATTTTATCTTTAGAAGTGTAATAGGTCAAAATTTCACTCCTAAATTTTCATTTGTTTTTATCAGTGCACAGAGAGGAAACTCTCTGCTTTGTGCTGCTGCTATTGCTGTTGAGTAACTGCATATCAAAGCAAGTATTTGTATTCCATAGACGTCTTAAGAGGATTTTTTCAGCATTATGAAGTGTTATTAGCCCCACAGCAGCCCTCCAGGCAATTGAAAATCTTTGTTATGGAGAAGAGGGAGTCATGCTGTGCACTTACTGAGTTAATACACTTTGCACACATCTTTTGTCTATCAGCTTCTGATGGGTTTTAAAATGTGAATGTGTGTCTTTTTAAATTGTGTTTATTTTACAGTGGGCGCAAGTACAACATTGTAGATGTCCATGTGTGAATAACTGAGTGTGGTACCTGCTTAGTCATGCTAAAACGCCTGCCTTACACTTCCTCTGTGTCCCTTCACAGGCAGCCTAAGAAACAGGATGTTAATGCTTGACGGAATGCCTGCAGTCCGAGTCAAAGCCGAGCCCCTGGAATCAGAACAAGGGGTAAGAGAGCAGTTGTTTTCCAGACAATTCCCTTTTTTTTTTTCTTTCCCGCTTTTCTTTTCTTTTTTCCTACTCCCGGCAATGGGCCGATAATCACTCCCAGGCCTAAGCAAGTGAATGAGTGAGGGAATGAGATGTGGGGGCTAAGAGGAGTGGTCGGAGAGCATGGTAGTAAGCAGGAAGAGCAGAAGAACCAAGAATGAGGTGGAGAGCAA